GATATTTCTTTTAACAAGTATTGACGTTGCAACAAGACTCTAATGAACAAGATCCTGTGAAAGGAATAAAAAAACCTCTTTAAAAAACGTAAGATCTATGACGCCACAAGTTTCGTCGTTAAGACTTCTTTTATGTGTATTATACGTTGCTAATATAACTCTAGTGGTTTTTTTTTTGGTTTAGTGGAAAATCGATATCGAATCCCCCCTTTTTTTGTCCCGTTAACTTTTTAAAATTATTGATTATAATTGAGTATCAAACTAGTTAATAGGATGTCAGAATTTCACATTTTCTGTGATTCACCATGTAATACTAGTCTAAAAATTGTGGTTATTTTTAATAAGGAAATATATTTTTTATTTCTAATTTGTTCTTGATGACTGTCTTCTTCTGCTCGAGATTCAACATCAAAATTTTAGTTTCAATGAAGTTGGGATAATTAATAATAATGGGGGTGGGGTGGATTCAAATAGTTTGTTTGGTATGGAGTTCGCGCAACTGCTAAACGAGGGCTATCTGCGCTAGTCGTCCCTAATTCAGCAGTGTAAGGAAGCTAATCACCATCACCCACCGCCAACTCTTGGGCTACTCTTTTACCAACGAATAGTGGGATTGACCGCAACTTTTTAACGCCCCCACGGCTGAAAGGGCGACCATGATTGCGAGTCGAGCGCTTTAACCACCTGGCCATGCCGGGCCTAGATTCAAAAGGAAGAAGATAAATTATTGGAAAAACCAGTTGGACTTTTAGATTTTATAAACTTAAAAACTTTTATTGAATCACAAAACAATACAATTTTTATCAAAAGAAAAACAAGAACTGGTTAATTTAAATAACTTGAGGTACTTGTGTGGTAAAAGTTCAAATAAAGAGTATCCTGATGATGTTATTTTTGAGAAACAAGTGTCAGCTCATGGTAAGTGTAAGGTTGAAGTTTATTTTGCACACATTTAAGATATTTTGAGTTATTGGTTTAATAACTATAAAAAAAATATAAAAATTCCATGAAGAATTTAAAATTAAAAAAAAAAATTAAAAATGAGAGTATTATGATTTCTAAGTCTGATAAGGATTTGTTTGTTTGATTTCAGAGCAAAGATACACTGGGCTATCTGCTGTGTCCACCCCGGGGACTCGAACCCCAGATTTTAGCGTTGTAAGTCCGTAAAACCTACCGACGTCCTACCGGAGGACTCTGATAAGGGGAATAACATTATGATATTAAATAAAAATGATTATTTAAAGAAAGCTGAGGATGTTTTAAGTGACTTTACTAAATATTTAAAACTGCATAATGATATTACCGATAAAATAAAGCCAGGCTGCAAAAATATTTTTTTAACTTTAAGAAAGATAACGTTGTTAATGAAAGACAGTGTTCATTGGGACTTTTAACATGGAAACCTCAACCCTGCTTTAGTTGGGTCTGTAACACAACAGTTGAAGTTTGATAGCAAAGCACACTACGCTAGCTTTCGTGTAGAATCATTACATTTAAATATACCTTTAGAAGAAACCTCACAGCTAAGTACTAGCTTGAGTTACAGCAATGTTTCTAACAACGTGAACCAACTTCGCAGATAAAGAATCCCAAGCTTTATGGTCAGATTAATGGTGTTTCCAAGGTTTCGAGATTGGCATCATCTTTGGCCAATCTTTTCTTGTGTTTTTGTGAAAAACGGAGCTTGGAAAATTGCCCACCACAGTTTAAACGTCTTTACTGTCGTTGATGTCATCTATATCTTCTTTCAGAACTGTGATCAAGTTTCCCAATGTCTGTCGTTGGTATGTTGATGTCATCTATACCATCTTTCAGAACTGTGGTCAAGTTTCCAATGTCTGTCGTTGATATGTTGTATGTCATCTATATCATCTTTCAGAACTGTGGTCAAGTTTTCCAATGTCTGTCGTTGATATGTTGATGTCATCTATACCATCTTTCAGAACTGTGGTCAAGTTTCCCAATGTCTGTCGTTGATATGTTGATGTCATCTATACCATCTCTCAGAACTGTGGTCAAGTTTCTCAATGTCTTCAATAATTGAACAGTAGACACAGCAGGATAAAGTTTAGAGTAGAACATCAAGAAGATCATATACTTTTTTTGACACTTTGATCAATAATAATAATAATAATGGTCAGTTCAAATGTAAAATATACCACAAAAAGTCATTCACAGATATGTAGTTTCGTACTCTAAGCTTCCTTCCTAGCTTCTTAAACGAAACTTATTTAGTACGTACTTAAATAGTTCAATAACATAAAATAGTTTTGATGTAAGAATGACTCTTCTATCTGTGTTATTGGTAGAATACTTTGTAATTATTTTAAATAAATAAAACGTTAGTACGTTAGATATATTTGAAGTATCTAAGCATTCTCTGTTTACTCTATATGAGGTAAATATTTTTTTAATTGTCCAAAATCAATTGAAAGAGTTTATTTAAACCTAATAGTCTCTCACTGTCGTTTTTAGATTTAAGGACCGAAAATCTTGTAGTTTATAAATCTGTCCTTGCTGTCCAAGGACCAATGATGAACAGATCCTCCATATAAAAGTTTGCTCAGTCTCTATTTGAGACCTGAAATCAACATTAAACGAGATGATGATAAACTGTTTCTATTTTTTATCATAACACGAAAAAGGCTTAACTATTTACTAATCATTTATAGAAGAGAAAGAAAAAGAATATTAACTTAAAAACGAAAATTCATACATTTATAAGCATAATAAGACCTTTTTGATTTTACCCAATCAGCGTCTCCTCTTAAAAAGACGTGGAAACTAAAAACCGTATTGAAAAATTAAAATAAAAAACGCATTAATTTTATGCTTAAAGAACACTAGCGACAAAAAAACAACAAAATTTTCTGTTAATTCGATGATATAATACTGTTTATTACGCTCATTGTTCATCGTTATTATAGCATGATTAGGATTTTCTGTTTTGGTGAAATTTTATTTCATTTTTTGCAAATCGCCGAGATTTAATGAGCAACATTACACTTGTTCGATAAAACAACGAAGCCACTAGAGCGACCCCTGTTGGCAACGCTATACATAATACTATTTATTACACTTATTTTTTGCGGCCTGGCATGAGCTGGTAGGGAGGGCGCTTTACTCGCAAGCTGCTGGTCGCGGGCTCGAATCCTGGAGCCGAGCATGTTCGCCTTTTCAGCCATGAGGGGGTTATAATATTACGGTCGATCTCACTTTTCGTTGATAAAAGAGTAACGAAAGAATTGGTAGTGGGTGGTGTTGACTAGCTGTTTTTAGTCTATCATTGCCAAATTAGGGATGGCTAGCGCAGATAGCCCTCGCGTAGCTTGGAGGGAAATTCCAAAAACCAAAAAAAAAAATTTGATATTGTGCATATCACCGGCGCTTTCCCATCAAATACTGCACAAAAGTGTACAGCTACCGTAACTGTGACGTCACAACACGTGAGCCTCGTTTTGGAATAAGAGATATGGATGCGATCGAAAAATAAAATCACGTGTTTACCTGAATTTATCAGACCCCTTGATGTGTTCCACACAGTGCACAATCAACGGAAACATTTCGCTTGTGATACAGATATTAAAATTAACAAAAAAAAATATTTATTTTTTTGATCACTGTTGGTCTTTAAAAAATGTACCGAAAATCATCACGCAAGACCAAACAAGTTCCACGTAAACATTTCTAATAGAGAACTAAAGAAAAACTGAATTAGAAAAACAAAGAACTTTAAGAAATCGGGAATAGATATCAATTGTTCTAAAATCTGAGAAAAAAAGCTCCTAAAATGTAGTTGTTCGTGCAGAATTAATAATATCTAAAAAGTGTTTTGCAAAAATCAATGGACTTAAAGAAATTCTGCGCAGTTTAAACTGATGTTTAAGAAATCATATGTTCTCGATTTTAATTTATATACAGAGGGTTAAGTAGGCTATATTAAAACAACTTATGTAAAACAGTCGACATAGAGCTGCAGTGGAACGGCTTTTATCAGAACTACATTTTGACATTGTTCACCACTATGTAGGTAGCGTGACGCCATCAAAATGTGATCACTTTTAGGAGGGGTATGTAATAGTCATTTCCGATACGAATTATTTATACAGTGAGATCATAAGCATGTATTCAGATTGAGCATATATATAATTTACAAGACGGGGGATATCCCTTTTGTTTAAAAGCACTGGAAAACAAAGGAGTGTGGATCAACTTGGGGCACCAGCACCATCCAGAAAGAGACCTGCAATAAGTCGTACCCCAGCCATGATAAGCAAATTGTGGCGTATTGTAACAGATAAGAATTCGCGAACACAATGATGAGTGGCAAAAGCTGTTTACGTGCCCTAGGCAGCAGTACGTAATATAATGAAATAATAATTCCGACCCAATTCACGTGTACATATGCTTATTCCATTACATATCCGTTCTATGGTCGCATACCCAAAGCAGCTGGAGAATGAAATAGGTATTCATACTATTCCATAAGAACATACACCAGTCAAGTTTTGGCCTTTATAAACAATAGTTTATATTTTCAATTACATTCAGTGTGCGCGTGTGTGTGTATATAAGTTTATGCTTGTAAATATATGAATTTCCGTTTTAATTTTAACAGTAATTTTAATTCCCTTCTTTAAACAATTAAACCATTTTAATATTGTTATGAAACAATTTGTTACCTCGTGAAACTTCCATCGTTGTGCCATGAGATTTATTATTGCAATGTGTTCTTTTCAGTTAGGCTTAATAATTCAAATTTTAGTTTGTACTTTTGGCTGTGGCGCTGTAACCGTTTACATAAGCGTAAGCCAAAACGTCGGGTTTTCAACTAAAAATATTCTTTCCTGGAGTTTCATTGGTAGGTATTTAATAGCATCGATATCACACCATGTCTCGTCTTATTCAATATTACATTACTGTTTTTATGCATATTTTAATGGGTCTTTATCAATAATTAATAACAAATTACAGTCTTCAAGTGACTGGTTACAGTTTTCAAGGGACATGTTACAGTCTTCAAGCGACTGGTTACAGTCTTCAAGGGACTGGTTACAGTCTTCAAGTGACTGGTTACAGTCTTCAAGAGACTGGTCACAGTCTTCAAGGGACTGGTTACAGTCTTCAAGTGACTGGTTACAGTCTTCAAGGGACTGGTTACAGTCTTCAAGTGACTGGTTACAGTCTTCAAGAGACTGGTTACAGTCTTCAAGTGACTGGTTACAGTCTTCAAGAGACTGGTTACAGTCTTCAAGAGACTGGTTACAGTCTTCAAGAGACTGGTCACTTTTACATGTAACATATTTATATTTATTTCAAGTATTGAAATGATTAAAAAAAATTGATCAACAGTTACCCATAATGTTTAACTCAAGCAAAGATAAAAAGTTCTCTTACGTCATGTGAAAATTGATCATTCTACAATTAATGGTCAATGAAGTTAAAGTATTAGAGCCAAATTTATTTTTGTATATCTTTAGGTTGCTAAGCAGAATTCAAATCAAGAAATGTTAGAGGGGCTCCAACACCCTCGGAGCTGACGCTTCTTATATCTATATATATTTTTTTTTTTCTCATACGTGACCAAAAGACATAATGATTTGTTACTAATATTTTTTGAACGTGTCTAGACATTCTTAATCCAGATACTTCCACATAACTTGACTTCTCCACTTAACCCTAATTCGCTTTTATTTCCTTCTAGCTTAACCCTAATTCTCTTTTATTTATTTTCTACTTAACCCTAATTCTCCACTTCTTTAAACTTTCTGACTGTTCTGACGAAATGGAATTTCGTAAAGAATAACAACGTAGAGAGAAAATTGACCAAGACGACAAAGGTGCTACAATAAGGAATTTAAAAGATAAGAGCTGGTTCATATCAAACTCAGTACAGATATTTGAGAGATAAGGGACGTTGTTCTTATTTTTAACTGAGATTCTTTCTAGAACAGTTTATCGGTGGCTCAATCCAAAAACACTAACAATTTCGATGGCTATCGCTAAGCTGCCTTTCACTTTATATCTTATTTCTTATTCTTTATCTTCCTTTTTTTGTTTTTATTTTCGAACTCTTACTGTAGCTAAAACGAGAGTTTTCTTTGATAATATTTCAAGAAAACGTTCTTCACGACTACAGTTAAAGGAAGGGGGAAAAAAAGGGGCGACAACAGAGAGAAAAAAAAATCAGAGTATTCGCTAAAAAAAATAAATAAACGAATTGCGGGTACAAACGTATATCCACTCACAGCTAGAACTATCGTTTTTTGACAGTAGAAGTTAGCGATCCGTAAACATAAGGTTTGTCCCCGAATATTATTACTAACTCAACATGAGCGTTTGGAACTTTTCTCTTTATCGACATGGTTTGAAGGACTTGTTTGTGTTTTCCATTTCCACACCCATTCACAAGCATAACAGGCATTTTCTTTTCCTCGTGCACTACAGAGTCTATTAGATAAACGATGAGGGTGGAAAAATGCATACACGAATTACACTAACTGTTCATCTATCAAATCGAACTCTTGAATTTTGAAACGAGACATCTGGAAGTTAGCGCTGCTCGGTTTTTTAGCTTGAAATTTTATAATCTGTTTAGTGTTTGTATTTTGAAACTCGTGACATTTATGTACTCTGTCTTAATTCAGTTTGAGAACAGTTCAAGAAATTCTTTTTTTTCAATGAAATAAATGTTTAAATTCAATTAATTTTATCGTATTTTTGGTATTTCTTAGACTATTACAAAGTTTGAAGAATGAGTGTTTTAAAGAGGAACCAGACGTAATGCTGGACTATTACAAAGTTTGATGGATGAGTGTTTTAAAGAGGAACCAGACGTAGTGCTGGACTACTACAAAGTTTGATGGATGAGTGTTTTAAAGAGGAACCAGACGTAGTGCTGGACTATTACAAAGTTTGAAGGATGAGTGTTTTAAAGAGGAACCAGACGTAGTGCTGGACTATTACAAAGTTTGAAGGATGAGTGTTTTAAAGAGGAACCAGACGTAGTGCTGGACTATTACAAAGTTTGAAGGATGAGTGTTTTAAAGAGGAACCAGACGTAGTGCTGGACTATTACAAAGTTTGATGGATGAGTGTTTTAAAGAGGAACCAGACGTAGTGCTGGACTATTACAAAGGTTTTTAAAAAGAAACCGGACATACTATAATAATAAATGGCTCAATGTTTATTCCATCAAGTTTAGGAATACCTCAGAAACAATCTACGTAGAGAAATATTCAACAATAAACGATTTTTTGAAATATAATAGTAATTAGGCTTTTTATATTCTTTTAAAGTACGATCTTTATTTGTTCTCTTAGAGTCTTTCCGAGAATGAGAGTATTTCAACCAACTTCGTCCGCCATATCCATTGCCTACGACGCATTTCGCTCAATACCAGAGCTCATCAAATCAGCTGAGACACAACAAACATATTAATAGTGGTCGAATACTATTTAGTAATTTCTTTTTTTACTTTTTCTAGGAAAAATGGTTATAGATATCACCCAAATGATGTTTTTACGAAGACAAAGCACGAACTTCAAGGAACCCCACCAAAAAATGATGCGGCACACGTCGTTTTAAAACAGAAGTTGAGGTTTACTCCGATTACCAGGTGAATAGGATTAAAGAAGATTAATCAGTGACCTCTATTACGTACATAGAATATGGCATCATGTCTATAATGTTTGATGTTACCATTGCATTTCAATGAATAGAAAATACCAGAACTCCCCCTACCAAGTGGATTAATATTTTTTAAACAAACTGACGAATCATTAATAATATTTGAAACATTTCTTGGACGGTTATTATATATATCTATGTGCCTAAACTCTCAAATAAATGTCATTTTTCAAATGATAGACTTCTGTCTGCGTTACAGAGGCGTTATGCAGTGTGATGTAGGGTTTTAACAATACCCAGTTTTGGTTCCTATCATGAAACAATGTATTCAATACCGGATTTTTAGTTCTGATATATGTAGGTAACCAAATTTCATCAGAAGTTAATGGTCATATATAAGAAAATGGAATCAACAAGATGGATCAAGAGTGAACAATATTCAACAAGAATATTGTTCACTCTTGATCCATCTTGTTGAATATTGTTCACTCTTGATCCATCTTGTTGAATATTGTTCACTCTTGATCCATCAACAAGATGGCTCAAGAGTGAACAATATTCAACAAGATGGATCAAGAGTGAACAATATTCAATAAGATGGATCAAGAGTGAACAATATTCTACAAGATGGATCAAGAGTGAACAATATTCAATAAGAACCAACAAGATGGATCAAGAGGGAACAATATTCAACAAGATGGGTTAAGAGTGAACAATATTCAACGAGAACAACAAGATGGATCAAGAGTGAAAAATATTCAACAAGAACCAAGAAGATGGATCAAGAGTGAACAATGTTCAATAAGATGGATCAAGAGTGAACAATATTCAGTAAGATGGATCAAGAGTGAACAATATTCAACAAGATGGATTAAGAGTGAACAATATTCAACAAGAACAACAAGATGGATCAAGAGTGAAAAATATTCAACAAGGACCAACAAGATGGATCAAGAGTGAACAATATACAAACACATCACCTGGAACAAACTTAAAATAAACAAGAAGACATTCATTGATGTTACACATGTTACATTTTAATGAATACTGAGAGAAAGGTGTGATTGATTATTCACCCCCATTCTATGTTTACTACCATGAATGTTGTTTTCATTAAATTACGTCATGCGAATTGGAAAAAAAAAATCCGATGAATTCCTTTATGAATAGCGAAAAAAAAAACCATCGTAAATAGCTGCGGCACTTTAAATTCTTTTAAACAGGATTAGTTTAGATTAATCTACGCGACCTGCGTGGGGCGCGTGGATACTTGATTCGATTTTATTACTGATCAGGATCTCTACCAGCCTACTCTCAAATTGAAATTATTTTAGGCAGGATTGGAATAAATTAATCTATGAGACCTTGGGCTTAGTCAAATACATCAATCGAAAGGGTTTGACCTTTTGAGTCCAAAACTATGATTATATGTCAAATAGGTCAAGAGTTATGAGCTAAAACTTTGTACTTGACAAACAAAAAACAAACTCAGGTCAATGAGCCGTTCAGCCGCGGCTAAAAACCATTTTTGATACCAGAGAAGGACAGAGTACAGACAGCTGAGTGTATAGGTTTGCAGTTAACAACAAACAATCACTTTAAAAGACGTCCAGCATTTGTCACATTGTAAAGAGAAAAAAAACACATTTTAACAATAAAATATTTGTACAAAGTCTGTGAAATAGTTTCGACACTTCCATGTGTCCTTTTCAGTTCTACAGAGTCTTTTGAGAAACAAAAATTCACAAACAGTTTAGTTGATGCCTGATTGTACAAATCCCTTGATGGTACACGTGGTCAGGGAACAAACATAGATGTTAAACATACAGACACACGATACTGTGTATCTTACCTTTTTTTTATTTTTGGTTTAGACGTTTTACTGGGTTACTCATTTTTCACCGTGTTTTACTTGAATTCGATTCCCGTGATGGGCACAGCACAGATAGCCCATAGTGTAGCTTTGTGTCTAAGAAACAGGATTATGGTTGTTTTTTTAAACATTTTACAGAGATCTGGTTGAAAGTGGAAATTGTTTCACAACAATGACAAGCAAAACAAGAGAAACGACTTAGGTTTGATAAGAAAAGTGTAGTAAGCGAGATATTCTTAAATATCAGGACAAACTTAAATAGCTTCAAATAATTTGTTTGAAAAGAACGAAAGCCATTAAATTTAGCGGAATTATTTAAGCCAAAAGTAATTAGCTAACTAGTAAGATCAGAAATGATTTGATGAGCTATATCATTTCGAAAATTGGTAAGGCCAGACGTTACGACATTCTCAATTAATATCATAAACTTCATTAAAGATATTTTGAAATGGCAGAAGGATCAAATCACTGTGCACTGAAATGTCTTTTTGTCCTTATTTTTTATTAACTGATATCAAAGGAGAAATGAAACCAATCAATTACCACTTCTTACTGATGAGCTTTGAAAAATGGTCTCTGTTGAATACAATACAATACGATAAATACGCTTTCCTGTTCAGGTATTTGTAAGCGGCTACAGAAAACATACATGATAATTACATTTTCAAAAATTATCATTTTATTCAGTAGCTGAACTCACTAGAGCCAGGATGAGAATCATAAGTTTTATTCACAAAAGTTTGTAAGTCTACGGGATGATTCACAAACTATATTATACTGCAAA